AATAATTAGAATAGGGCCTTGGGGGTATAGATATACTAATATTATATTACGGAACACCGTAAATTTAAACTAGTATAGGCAACTATTTAGGCCCCTATAGGACTAAACCCTAAAGCCTAAACCCCAAACGGGGCTCGGGTCCCGCAAATCCATTGAAGAAGCCCTGAACCCTAAGCCCTTAGAGAAAGCCCTACTGTAGGGCCCTGAAGAATTAGAAAAAGGTTTTGGGTCTTTATGGTCTAGTCAAAATAAAGGGCCCTAAGGAATACATATTGGCAATTTAAACTAAATCCCTAAACCCTCGAAGAACCCTTAAAAGACTCTAGAGCAAACCCAGGCACCAGCCACACGTTTGGCAGCACGAAGCCGGCAGCAGAGGCTGCCAAACCTAAAGAACGACTGGGTGCTGTTGTAGTATAGAAAGAGGTCTTCATAGTTAGAATGGGCCCTGAACCCTGACCCCTAGTATACAGGGACGACGAGCGGATACTCTTGCAAACAGACCCCTATATATACTATGTCAGAAGCCTCTGATTCTTGCCATGGGCTCGTTTCCAGATGTTGGGCTTGAGATTCGGGTCTTGGACAAGCCTTTTGTTGGCAACCCCTACCTTGGAGCAAAAAAGACACAGATCCGTTTTCGAGCTCGGGCTTAGGGCTTGCAGGTTCTGACTACGGTTGATGATATAAATCCTGCATCACCCATAGAAATGAAAATACCATAATTCCCATAGTTTAGGGTCCCTAAGGTGATGCTAAGGATTTATACCATCAAGAGTAGGGCTAGCGCTCTCACACCCGGACTCGACCAGATGAGCTGTTGATGGGCTTATGCTCTGAAGAGCTGGTGGCTCTAGGGCGCGTTGTTTCGGAGATAGGAGTTGGGGGTCTTGAGGCTTGTGCCCTAAGACCTAATTGCCAGCCCTGAGTCTCTAAACCCTAAACCCGAAAATCCTTTAAATCCCTAAACCCCAAAATCCTTTAAACCCCCTAAACCCTAAAATCCTTAAATCCCTAAAATCCTTCTTTCCCTAAATCCCTAAGCCCCTAAACCCTAAAACCCCAGGAGCCTGCAGCTCTAAACCCCGAGCCCAGACCCCTGCAACGCAACTCTCCAGCCTCAATGATTCGAACTCTGGGACCCCATCGGGTTTAGGGTTTATAGGGTCTAGGGTTTATTATTTATTAGGGTTTAGGGTTTAGGGTCTAGGGTTCACATTAGGGTTTAGGGTTTACTATTTACTAGGGTTTAGGGTTTAGGGTCGAGGGTTTATTAGGGTTTAGGGTCTAGGGTTTATTAGTGTTTAGGGCTTAGGGTCTTTAGTAGCATGGCAAAGGCAACTTGTAAGACAGCTAAGAGAATGGACCTGAAAGAGTGTTGGGGATGCCTTTTTGACACTCACCGTCGGACAAGTATCTATAAGGGATGTATTTAGGGGCCTTAACAACTAGAATTGGGCCGGTTTGGGGTTTAGGGCTTAGGTTTGAAGGCTTGAATAGGGTTCTGACTAGATAATTGCTTTGGAGGACTCAAGGTGCCTAAGGAACAAAGCTGCAAAATCTTATTGAAGCTGCCTAAAGCCCTAAACCCTAAGCCCCAGAACCTTTTTGAACTCAGGCTCTGATACTGGGAAGTCGCCCGTGAACCCTAAAACCCTGAACCCTAAACGCCCCACCCTAAACCCTAAACCCCAAAACTCTAAACCCTCAACCGTCTAAACCCCTTAAGCTGTAGCAATCAATGGCAGGTCCAGTGGCAAACGAAGCAGAAGCTGTGCAGATCGTTCGCCTTTCGGGTTTGGCTTGGGATTCGCTGGGGGTTTTGCGGATTTGGGCACTTGGGTTCAGGGTTTAGGGGTTTGTAAACCCTAAACCTAAACCCCAAACCCTAAACTCTACACCCCAACCCCAAACCCTAAACCTTAAACCGTGCTTGTAAGGGCTTTGAATGGCTGAACAATTTACAGTTGTTTTTTGGGGGGACTTGGGGCTCCGACTCTGACGCCTCGCACGAAGACAAGGATCTTCAAGTCTGGGAAACGGAGGGACCTAAATAGTTAGAATAGGGTTTAGGGTTTAGGGTTTAGGGTGGGTAATGTAGGGACCTGAATAATTAGAATATAGGTTTAGAGGTATGATAAACGAAATTTATGACAACAAACCTTATAAGAGTTATAGATTAGGGTTTAGGGGTATGATAAACGATATTTATAGCAAGGAACCCCCCAAAATAGAATAGGTAAGTATTACGGCTCGTCTATTAACATTGACGCAAGCTGACGACCAGGGGGAGGCCGAACACATCAGCCGCCTAGCTAAGACACCCAAGACCCAGCAAACGCCAATGGATCCTGACACTTAATGTAGAGGCCTTAATAATTAGAATCGGGTTTTGGGGGTTCCTTATTAACTATTATAGTTATAGTTTAAATATACCCCCAAGCCCTATTCTAATTACTAAGGCCCCTATATTACATCCCTCAGCCTCTCATGCACGCTCGAGCAGAAGCCTTTTTTGCGGGCAACTCGTGATCAACACCTCAGGCACTCCTCAGCGTCCCTAAACCCCCAAACCCTAAACCCCTAAACCCCTAAACCCCTAAACCCTAAACCCTCTTTGCTTGTGCAAAACACGGCTGGCACGACTCTTGAGACACGTTGTATTCCAGCAGCCTCTCGGCGAAGAGCTCCTTTGCTCCGTTGTAAAGGATTCGGTCGACGGGGTCATCGTAGCCTTGAAGCACAGAGGAGTTGTATTCGTGGTTCTTTGAATCTCCGGGAAATGTGGGCCTGTCGTCCATGAAGTCCGAGGCGAGGCAATCACCTCCGAACATACGGTGGAGGAGACAGATGGAGAGGTCCCATTCCTCCACTAGCCCAACAAAGGCGAATCCTTCACGAAGCCTGGTCACCGCTTCTTCCGCATCCGTTTCGTTCAAATCTCCGCACGATGCTGGAGGTGGATCCATGGGACCATCTGTCATGATCTGACATGTCACAGCATGCGCCTCTGAATGAGCATAGATAACGAGGTCTTTGAACTCCTTCCCATGCGGCCATGTTGGGTCGGCGTAAGCAGACAAGATGCGCTGGATCGGATCGCGCATCATGGTCACAAGGTGACCTTTGAGGAGCTCATATTGATGTCCGATGCCCATGTGCGTGTTGGCCGGGAATCCCTGCACATCGCTATTGCACAGGAACTTGTTGCCATTGCAGACATGTGGACAAATACCCTCGAACTTGAGCTCGAAGAGGTCACCCAGTACTTCTTCGCTCACTTGGAAAGAGTCGTCTACTCCCGGGCACACATCAGGGAGATGGATCAATACATTCACGAAAGAAGTCCCGCACTTCGGCGTATGCATCCACTTTAATGGCTGGGCAGCTAGCAGTGCTGGCGTCGCCGGCGCCCCTGCCGCTTTTTCGAATGCCCCCTGTACTGAAGCCACGAAGGTCGCTGCCAGATCCCAGGAGGTTCCGGCCCACAGCAAAGGGAAGGAGGACCTCATGCTGTCTTCCTGCAAAGACACCAGCTGCTTTGCAGCCTTCTTGAACATGGCATCTGCCACGAAGAAGATGCTGAAGAAAATGAAGGCCCTGCCGCTTGTCGCCATGGTTTCTCGACTCGTTCAGGGCAAGGGCGAATCTATGAAACTGGGGGTGTTCAGTCTCGGAAGCAATTCAGCTTCAGGAGCCAGAATGCTAGGGCCAAGGTTTCGGGATTTTGGAGCTTAGGGAACCCTAAACCCTAAACCCTTAAACCCTAAACCCTAAACCCTAAGTTGGGGGGCCTAGAGGGTTCGGGCATCGGAGTATGGATTGCTTTGTGCGGAGGAAGTGTGACACCCTGAACGCTCGACCCTATGTCTGCAACCTGGAACAATACGTTATTAATAATGGTGGGCCTAAACCCTAAAACCCTAAACCCCAAACCCAAACCCTAAACCCAAAACCCAAAACCCAAAACCCTAAACCCTAGACCGTAAACCCCCCCAAAACCCCGCACTACGTACTCCAAACCAGATCCCCGACCCTGAAGCTCAAAGCCTCCCCATGCCCGCGCCCCGCGCCTGGCGCTGGACATATGGCTGGAATGACGCCAACGTGGTGGCCGTGACCAGAGCGACACCTTCATGAAAGGTTCGTAGGCCTATGCTAGGGGGATTTGGGATGAATTCTTAGGGCAACTCTCCCGATTGGGTTGTAGAGAATCTTTCGTTGTGCAGTGAGTAGTTTATAGGCTGAGAATATGCAGAACCTGTCATATTTGTTATAACCCTAGACCTTACAAACCCCTAAACCCTAAATTATACAACCAACCATCGCACCCACGGATCTGTAGAAGTGAAGGATCCTTTCCAGAGAATCCAATATCCCTTAATTGAGGTGTATGCCTTAAATTATACGGGCCTTGATATTATGATTTAAGGTATACTCCTTAATTAAGGGGGGTTCTCTGGGTTCTCGTGGCTAGGGTCTGAAATTCGGCACAAAATGGAGGCCTGCGCAAAGTGTGGGGGCATCATCGCTGTCGATCACCTCAGTTCCCAGCATGGGACCCTAAACCCTAAACCCCTAAACCCTTAACCGATGGACTTTGGAATCGATTTTGGTAAGGGGCTCGGGCTTCAACGGCCTCCATAAATGGGTAGGAATTCAAGTTCAGGAGTTTAGGGGTAGTCCTTTAAGTTAGGGTCGCATTTTTGCAACCCAAAAGACAGAAGCCGGCATACTCATGAAAAGGACTCGAAAAAGGAACTCCAGTTTCGACAAAGCGTTACAAGAGGTTCGGGCGAGCGGTTGGTCATACTACGTACCCTATGCTTAAAATAACACCATGGCTGACGATTCAATTCATCTCGATAGATTGTTGATTGGAATGTGCACGACTGAAGCAGTGTGTGCTGTCTAACAGGATTGAACAACCTTCCTATGTCGAGAACACTACTATAGGGCTTTCGCACAGTGCGCGAAACGATCAAGTCCGTGTCAACAGGCCCTAAACCCTAAACCCTAAACCCTACCAAGCCTGGACCCTGGACCCCAAACTCGAAATCCTAAGCTTCAAGCCCGCACCACCCAAAACTAAACCCTGAATCGCCACAAAGCACCGGAACACCCAAGGGAGCCCTTGAGCACTCCGAAACGGTGCAGGCGTTAACGATTCTATACCGTAAACTACCATAACCTACTTTTTTTTTTGCAAGTTCTTATCATAAACTCTACTAAAAAAATAGAGGTTGTCGTGAGCTAATGGCAGCTAATGCAGGATTCTTGAGGGTGTGGTTTCAGGGTCGGGTAGGCATTTTCTTGACTGCACATCCTTGCCGGCAAACGATGGTTTGGAGTCAAGACTGAAGAATAGACGTTGGTGGGGTATGAGGATCTTGCTCAACCCAAGGTTGGCGTAGTGACGACGTTCAACTGCGGCCGGTTACCCGGTGTCACCTCTTGTGCCGAGTTCTGTGACTGGGGTCGCCGGGGCCGTGTGAAGCGATCAAACTGTTTCCGTAACCCGGTAATCTGCGATTGGAAATGCACTGGCTGCAGCCGAAGGCCAGTGGTTGAAATTTATCACCCACCTGCCCAGCAGCTAGTAAAACCAAGTCTTCCAATTAAATAGCTGGAATGTGTATGTCCGCTGTCCTGCGTTGTGCTGCCTTAGGTATCGGGGTCGCGATCAACAATTGAATTGCAAAACAAGGCCCCCAACCCCAAAAACCCTAAATCCTAAAAAGCCTAAACCCTAAAACCGTTTACCCCTAAAGAACGACCGGTACAGGTAATTGAAGCCGGTGCAGAGCATGCCACCCACGAATTGGTTCGGTGGCTGGGCCGGGGACCTGTGCGGAGCGTTTTCTTCCGCCCCTAAGCCCAACTCTAAAGACTCCCCAAATCCACCAAATCCTAAGCCAAAACCCTAAACTCTAAACCCGAAACCCTAAACCCGAAACCCCAAATCCCCCAAATCCTAAGCCAAAAGCCACGGCACCGAGACGAAGGCCGCCGAGACGAGTTTCAGGACCACCTCGAACCAAACGAGCTCGAAGAGCACCTTTCAGTCTGTGGGCTTAGGGCTTAGGGTTGAGGGTTGAGGGTTGAGGGTTTAGGGTTTAGATTTCAGTCTGTGGGCTTAGGGAGTTTATGATAGGGTTCAGGTTAGTGGATCCTTGAGAGGTATCCATAGGGGTCTATGGTTGAGGGTTTCGACTTTAGTGTAGGATTTGGGTTTAGGGTTTCGGATTTAAGGCTTTCCGAAAATAGGGGACCCTAAAAAAGTACCCTAAATTTCCTAAATTGTAGGATCCTTATTATAAGGACCCCCAAGTTAGGTACCCCTTATTTTCGGGACCTCCCATTTGAGGCTAGGAATGAAGAGCACCCAAGGCTGCGAGGGAGCCCTGTTGCTGCTCACGGGGGCTCTTTGGGTTTAAGATGAGGATTTAGGGATACTGCTGTTGATGATATAAATCTTGCGTTACCCATTATCAGGAATTTTCCATCATTCCCATGATTTATAGGGTCGAAAAGCACCTGTACTTTCAGTTCAAAGGCACCTCTACGATTTTAGGGTTCTCTTATAGGTACTTTAGGCCCAAGTAGATGCTCGATGCAAGGACCGTCGGTGACTGATAAGCACTCCGAATCCCGAGTCTTACGCTTTACTACCCTGAGCTTCTTATCCCCTAAGAACACCTCTGTTAACTGGTCAAGTAAAGGTGCTCTCCGAGCTCTTATAACATCAACCTAAACCCTAAATGTAGAAGAAACCCCACACCGTGGTTTTGAACCCCAGCAGTCCTGAAGAACACTATAAGGGCTCCATTCCTTAAGCCCTAAACCCTTGTAGTTACCTTTGTAGGATCTCCAAAACGCTCTATGTGGAGCTGCAAGGGTTTAGCGGTTTAAGGGTTTGGGGTTTAGGGTATAGGATTTAGGGAGGTTAGCCATTGGAATTCCACAGGTGTTGCAACACACCAAAACGGTTCAAAGTTGTCTACCCTGAACCCTAAACCCTAACTCCTACGAAGGCACCTAAGGTTGGGAACTTTGCAGTGCTCTTTGAAGGTTTAGGGTTCAGGGCCCTTCAAGGGTAGCGTTGTGGGTGTTTAGGGTTCAGGGGTTAGGGTGCAGGTCGTAGCGTGAAGGCTGTTACGTGAGGGTACAGTCAGTAAGTCTAACGGCTACGTTTAGGGTAAAGGCCCTTACGGTTTAGAGTTCAGGGCATAGCCCTGTTTACGGTTCAAGGTTCGGTTTTTATGGTTTCGAGCTCACCGCTTGCCTAAAACACCCCAAAACATACCATTATGAGCAACTTTATAAGGAAACAACTATAGTGAGACACCATACAAAACTAGGCTCTGTCCGGTTATCCTAAAGTTCAAAGTATGTGCAGGCTTACGGAACGCCGTGCTGAGGTTTGAGCAATGTGTGATCTACTTGTCCAGGGATTCAAATCCAAAACCTTCCCGAACGCCACGAGCAGAAGCCGTGTTCCAAATAGCTTATGTTCAGATGCATGTTTTGCTTAGCGTACTATGAACGTTCAAACGAAATGCTTAAATGCTTTTGGTCACCTCAAACAAAACAATAGAATCCAGGGTCTCTAAGTGGAGTCACCCCACTCCAAAGACAGCAATATCTAGGCCGAAGATGCCTTTGGATTTAGGGTATAAGCGGTTTATACACTTTAGGTTTTGGGGTTTAGGCTAACATCTTTACGATTTTTTCAGTGGCCACAGAAACACAAAGAAAGGGGAAACCTGAAAGCCAAAGACTGAAGCTGCAGACGTTGGCATGGCTTTTTCCGTCCCGAATGAGGGCCGCACAACCCCCAAGCCCTTTTGCAACTGGCTTGCAACTCACGCCAGGACACGCTAAGCCCCAAACCCTCAACCTTAAGCCCTAAACCGTCAAACCCCCCCCCCCAAACCTAAAACCCTAAGCCCTAAACCACTAAACTCTCAACCCAAAACCCCCTGAAGACCAAGTGGCATACTTGCAGAATAGGCGGTCGGCTCCTGCCAGAATTCCTCGGACCGATGAACCCAAAGGCCCCCGGGTTGTGGGTTTAGGGTGGAGGCTTCCTAAAAGGGCTGACAGTTTGCGGGTTTGGGGGTTTAGGAATTTAGGGTTTCTCTAATATAGAGGCTTTTTAGGGTTTAGGGTTCCTTTGAGGGTTTCTTTGCTTTGCCGGCTTTTTTGGTTTAGGGTTTAGGATGTAGGGCTTCTTTACTATCAAGGCTTTTAGGGTTTAGGGTTTAGGATTAAGGGTTGCTTTGAGGGTTTCTTTACATTTCTCAAAGGCCTGCTCAGGGGTGGAGGCATGTGGGTAGTTCGTTAAAGCAGGGTCCCTTTTAGGGTCCTTTCTATAAGGGTGCCGTACTATGTTGGGGATCCAGAAGGGGACCCTAATTTAGAAAACTACCTATGTGACGACGAGTCTGATGTGAAACTAGAGCGTGAACGACTTTCAAGAGAGAGATTCCTGAAAACGGCAATCCCACACAGTTGCTAACCCTCCTAAAAGAAGAGCCATCCCATGCTCTCTCTCTCTCTCTCTCTCTCTCTCTCTCTCATGCAGACTTCCTTGCATTCTGGGTGCCTAGTTTGA